GCGGGGACCCGCCCCCGCCTCCCCGCCGCGAGGGGCCGGGCCCGGCGCTGTGCTGCGGCGAGCGCGGCGCGGGGCTGGCTCGGGTGGTGGGTAACTGCCCGGCCCGCCAGGAGAGTGTCCTTCCCTGCAGGCATCCCCGCTCCTTGTGTGCGCATCCCTTAATCCGTACGTCCTGCCTTGCACCTGCCCCTCCGAGCTCGCGTCTTTCCCTGCAGACCATCGCTAAACGAGCGCTCGTGCCCCGTTTTGCACTATACCTGCGCACAAACAGGCCCATCTGTATTTACCGTTAATATAGATAAGGATAAAAAGGGTATAAAAAAGAACAGGAGATGCTAACCCAGTTTTACAGATGGCAAACTGAGCCCCAGGGAAATGAAGATGCCTGCCTTGGGCTGCCTAGGGAATTCACGCCAGAGCTGGAAAGGAATGGCAAAGCTCTCAGATTTCAGTTCAAAGCAGTTTCCGGCCACGAAACCTTATTCCCTTTTGTGCTAGTGTAAGATATTTCTTGATGCAAAGATGTGTCACGCAATACAGTACACCTTTCTGAGTACCCACTTTGAATGTGGTGCTTGACGTTACTTTGAAATATCCCTGGTTTCTACAGGAATCCTGGGCCCAACAGCCTCAGTGGAGATGAGAAATGCTTTGCTCTGGAAATACCATTCAGCCAAAAGAGGATCACTGCTGCTTGTGGAGCTGCAGAGCATCTGTGCCACTTAGTGGAGCAACTCTGATTTTTTCAGGCAGAGGACAGAAGTAGTAAATGCACCATTAGTCACTGTGTTATGAAGTCAGTGTTTTTCAGCAATTTCTCATTTAACTTCTACAGGTATGTCTTAATATGCTTTGCTTTAATAAGGAAGGATATAGAACTCATCAAACGACTTTCCAGGATGGCCCAGGACAAGGATACAGAGCAAAAGAAAGACCCAAAAAGGGCTTGGGAGTTCTTAGCAGAAAGCTGATGAGCTGAAGGTTGGTTGTCATTTCATATTGTACAGGCAAAGACTGTACTGATGAATGCACAGGGTAATGATGCATCCACAGCAAGTGAGCAAACTCCACCAATAAGCCATATTGACTAATCTGATCTCATTCATTCATCATCATGATAGTCTGCAGGGGACAGTTATAAAGCTTGGTTATTACTCACATGAAGAATCCTTAGGCCAGGGAACAGCTCTGCCATATGAAGAGCCCGGCCTTCTGGCTGATGGGGCTAACCATTAATACTTGCTGTAGCTGTGGAGCCATAGCTGTGTTCCCTCCTCATGGGAAGTATTAATCTGGTAAGTGCATATGCCAGGTAAGGTGTAGGCTGCTCCAAGCTTTTGGCATTTGCTTTTTCAGCCTTCATCAGGACTGTGTTTGGGCCTTGATCTTTTCAGGTTTCCATGTGGATCTTTGGGAGCCCTGTAAGTGGTTTCCCAGATGCAATTAAAAAGAGATTTATTGGAAGATTTTTAGAAGCAGCTGGATGTTACTTTAGGAGACAGTAACGCACAGTATCCAAACATGGAGTCACATCCCTACCTCACCAAGACTCAAGGAGTTTTGGGGTGGGGAAGGAGGAGATCACTGGAGGAGTTTAAGTGGATCACTGCTAGTGAGTAATTTTCCCAGACACAATTATAAAGCCTAATTCTCTGTTGCCTAGATATGTCTAGAAATCTGTGTGCTCAGGTGGAGCAGTACTATAACGTTATTCTTTAATAAACATTTCCAATTTTGCATCACTACTAATGATAGCAAGAGATGCAGGGCAGTGGAAAACTGGAACTACAGACTGAGTGTGTGTAAATTTTTGTATCACTTCAACAAATTCTTCCATATGCCTTCCATTGCTCATGTATTATTTCCTTTCTTCCCATCTAACTTTAAAACTGCCCATACCTGCGTTCTTCTCTGCTCTCTTCATCAGAGCTATTTCACAACCTACTGCAGCTCATTGGTAAAAGCTTTTGAGTTACTTTCAGCTTTGGTTTTCTCTCTCTTTGTTTTGACTTCTCTAAGTAATTTGCACTCCCTCCTGCTCGGGTGTATGCCTTGCAAATGTTTGTAAACTGTTTCTATGTCCCCTCAGAGACAAGGAACACATAGTGTCGCCACAAATCAATCCCCCACAGCTGCGCAGGGAGCTGTTGCCTTCTGTCTCCTCCCAGTGTGTCAGACTCTCATGGTAGCCACAGCCCTGAACTGAGCAGTCGGTTCCTGCCCAGCACTCAGCTCAGTGTTGCCTGGCAGGGTAGCTGTGTGCACATTCCTGGTGCCAGTGCATTGCCTTCCTCCTCTCTAGCTAATTTCTTTGTGTCCCCTTCTCTAATTTTCTAGCTCTCCTAAGGCTAGATCAATATAGTCTGACTTTCCAGAACTCTTCCCTCCTCTGCCAAGAGTTGATTAATTATTTCCTCCTTGCTAAATAGCTTTTGTTTTCCAGGTTGAATCTTATCTTAACCTAGTTTGCAATTTGTACTCTCTGTCTCAGGATTTTTATGCTGTTGTTGGGACAACCCTGACCTATTGTGTAGCTACCTCAACTCTCAGCCTATTCCCTCTTTCTTAGACTCTTCCAGATTCTGCACCAGACTATTCCTGCACCTTCCTGAGCCCTGTGGATAAGGGGAAAGTGACATCCTTGGGGAGAGGAGATTAAGGAGGCCTCTGACACAATTTTGCTGGTATCTCCCGGGCATATTGCCTTTCTCTTCCTAGCTGCTGCTGGGACACAGGCACCAAGCACCTGCCCAAATATGTCCCTTCCCTGTCCACATGCAGCTCCTGCCTCTCTCTCAGGACACACCAGAGCCCCTCCAGCTCAGCCTTCTTTGGTCAGCTGGATGGTTTAAGCACTAATTTAAAACTTTAATGAGGCACTCAGTCTAATGTTTTACTGATCCCCAGCGCTATGGTGTCCCTGGTTCGTTCCCTCTGAACAGCCACTTGTAACATGCCATACCCTTTGTTTACAGTCCTGCAGCCTATCCACCTGAGTGATTTTACAGCCTGCTATGTGATAATGCTGAACATAAAGTCCCATTTGACTTTATACATTGGGCTTGCCCGATAGCTAAGGTCCAAAGCCCAGCATGCCACAATGTCAGTGTAACAACCTGACAAAAGCCAAAGTCCTGTGTGAGATTTCAGTGTTGGCTCCTTTTTTTACATTTCCCATGCTTTGCCTTTGGTTTTTGTCACTCTGTGCTTCTGCTCTGCCTGCAGTCCTGGCACAGCTTGCCTTTTCCTTCCTCCACGGATGGCAGGATGGGCATTTGCTTTCTTCCTGCCACCAGACTGCCTGCTGAGAGACATGGCAAGGCATCCCTCCTCTGTTGCCCCCTGCCAGGCTGTTCTGGTGTGGTGAGTGCACAGCATCCTGAGAGACTTCAAAGTAACCGCCCAAAGCTGAGGCACCATCCCCACCGCTCACAGCCCAGAGGCTTTGCCTAACGTTGTCATCTGTGGCGGACCCTCATCGGAGTCTCTAGGGAAATGGAGCTTCTGGCTGGGGCAGATGCCCAGAGCAGGGAAGCAGAGAAGAGATGGGGCATGAGGAGGTAGCTGGGAATGGTGACATATGGTGAGGGGCGATGCAGAGGGCTACTGCCAGAAGCAAAATGTTTGGCAGCCACTGGGGACAGGCTTGCATTGCAAACACTATCTTTCACTTTAATATAAAGCTGGAGTCTAAGGCCAGTGTGCTGATGGTGAGTTGTTATTTGTGTTCATCTTGCTGGGAAACACCATTGTGTGTGCTGTTTGCTGTCTCACTGAAACCAGTCAGTCCTCAGTAATGAAAAGATTTTGTTGGTCCCTGGCTGAAGGGATCTGCAGAGAGTTGTCTGTCTCTGTGTTGAGGACTGGCAGCAGTCTTGCTGCATGGATGCTTTCTTGAGGTCATGCTGAACAGCTCTCTATTTGGCTTTGTGCAAGTTGGGCTCATCTGCAGCAGTTTTATATTTGGGTAAATCTAGTCATTACCAGGGCTGTTTGAACAAACTATGGTAGGCTGGCAGAGAAAATGAGGGGAAAAAAACTTGTCACTGCATATTTCCATGGAAACAAGTATAGATATTAGGGTAGATTTTATTTGGTTTTTGAAATATTCTGTTGTCAGTGGTTATTTCTGGATCAATTAGAATGTTGGCATATATTGGCAGAAACCAAACCTCAGATGTGTCTGTTGAACCTAATGCATGCAGTTCTTCTGGTCAGGCTTGGCTTCTTTAGAGAACTCATGGGTCATGAGGGAGTTATGGGCCCTTGCACACAGTGAATCATGGAGGATTTGGCCCCAAGGTCATAGAGCAAACTTCAGATGAGGTAAACAAATAGCTGAAGTGAGTATGAGGATGTCTTTGTTATGAGAGGTCAGAATACAGCACTAGAGTGATCCATTCAGGACTACAAACTATATGTACGTGAGCTACTCTACATATACATATAGTGCAGTGGCCCAGAATAATCTCTAATAAACAAGAGCCATTGAGTGTAAACTCAGCAGGAAGGTTACATCCTAATGCTACATGGTTACATTTTCAAGCTGAAACTAAAATGCAATTACATCCCATTCGTTTACTTGAAAACTGTTGGTTTTGAGCAAATGACCAGTCTTGCATGCTGCTTCAGTTTCCAAGCTGCGCTATTTATTCTAGCACAGCCTGGAAATCACAACATGAAGCTATTGAAGAACAGCAGGAAATGCGACATTGCTGGTGATGCTCTTCCAGGGAAGTAAAATGCAAAGTGTAATCAAACAGAACAAACTGTCAGATTAAGACTGGAGATTTTAAATTATTTTCATTTAAACTAATCTGAGGTGTTTATTACCTGAATAGTAAGATTATTTCTCTTTTGGTATGATTTTTACCTTCACCACTGCTTGGATTTTATCAGTTGCAGAAATCTCAGATCACTCCTCCTTTGCCTATCGGAAGCTACATCCGAACATAGTAT